CTGCCCTCTGTGACCTTCCTGTGTCCTGTGCTGAACTGTCTGCCATACCCCCTGTCTGCCCCTTACCTACCCTTCCTCCCTGTCTCCCATACCCCCGTACCTGCCATACCTGTCTACCATATGTCCCTTTTTGCCAAATTTCCCCGTCTGCCAACTGCCATAACCTTCCGTCTGCCATCTGCCATAACCTTCCGTCTGCCATGTCATATACAGTGATGTAGTGACTGTCATATGCAGTGACTGTCATGTGATGTGAGTATGTGACAACGGCGCGACGGAAGCTTTGTCACGCCATTGTCACTGGACGGTATTGTAACACGCTAGGCAGCTGTCATGGATGATCTGAGTGTCACCTGAGACCACTAAAGCCGTCACAAGACCGTTAACGCCGTCACAAGACCACTAAAGCCGTCACAAAACCTTTAAAGCCGTCACAAGACCTTTAAAGCCGTCACAAGACCGTTAAAGCCGTCACAAGACCACTAAAGCCGTCACAAAACCACTAAATACGCCACAAGACCATTAAAGCCGTCACCTGAGCGTTACAAACAACATCAGCGTCACCTTATAGGCGTCACCAACGTAAATGGACGCAGGCGTTACGGCCGTCACAGCGTCGTCACGAGCTGGTGACCACCCACTTATAGCCACCACTCTGCAACGTTCTGAAGTCACGCTTACCTGCCGTAACAGGTGACACGGAGAGAGAGAGAGAGAGAGAGAGTCTACAGCCTCAGTTTTGACCACCAAGGCTCCCGTCCACCACAAGCAGCTAAGGTTCAGCTACTAACACAACTAAACTTGACTCAATTAATAAAAAAAATGTGTTAAATCTCGCTTAAAGTAAATTAAATGCCCCAAATTTTACCTAAACGTCACTAAACTTAGATAAATGTCACCCAAAATTCGCTTAATTTTGCTAAAATGAATAAAAATCGCTAACATTCTCACAAAATTCGCTAAGATCAACATAAACCATTACTGCGAGAGACCATGAAATTGTGCTAATGTTGGCGACTATTCCCGCTATGTTGGTAACACTGGTTGCTGCATCATGGACTTAAGACTTACCACAATAATAAAAGAGGTGACGTATCTTACCTCCCTCACTCCCTCCCTCCCTCCCTCCCTCCCTCCCTGTCTTACTCCCTCCCTCCCTCCCTGTCTTACTCCCTCCCTCCCTCACTCCCTCCCTCCCTCCCTCCCCGTCTTACTCCCTCCCTCACTCCCTCTTGCATACTAAACTAACTCTTATAAAACCTTTCTCTCATCTCTCCCTTCGCTTCTCCCTCACTACCACCACCTAGCACACTCCTGAGGTCATGTGTGTGTGTGTGTGTGTGTAGGTATGTGTGCGTGTGCGTGTAATAATAATAATAATAATAATAATAATAATTAACGGTTTATTGAAAGAGCTTGGCAGCCAGAAGGCTGAAAATATACAGTTACATATTTGGGGAATGGGTTACGAATTACAAATAATATACAAGTAACATAAGTGACACAAATGAGGTGTGTGTGTGTAGGTATGTGTGCGTGTGTAGATATGTGTGCATGTGAGTGACATGTGTGTATGTACTGTATGTGTGTGTGTGTGTGTATATCGGACACACCGTTGTGAACCTTGGTGTACAGTTATGGACGTAATTACCTGAACACTTTAAGACCAACACCTGTCATCGTCTACCTGTGAGTCGTGTAGGTATGGCGCTCTCTCTCTCTCTCTCTCTCTCTCTCTCTCTCTCTCTCTCTCTCTCTCTCCTCTGTCTCTCTCTCTCCTCTGTCTCTCTCTCTCTCTACAGACAAGCTACGGAGATTCGAACCCTTGTTTACAGTTTGCATGTCGAGGACCAATCACGACTAGCCATTAGCCTAGTTGTTAGTGATTGGCGGGTGTGTGTGTGTGTGTGTGTGAAAGAGAGAGGGGGTAAATGTTGAATAGTTTCTTCCCAACATACTTCCATGTGTGTATGTATGAGTGTCTCTACCGCACCTTATCTCTGACACACAGGACCTTCAGGTGTGGACAGTGTTGGAATCTGACGGTGCAAAAACACTGTTACAACCTGCATGGATGGGGGGGGGAGAATATAAGGGGGGAGGAGGGAGTTTGTGGTTCATGTGTGCCAGGGGAGGGAAGGAGACAGAAGGAGGAGGGGAAAGGAAGGGGAAGGGGGGGGAAGGGGAAGGTTATTGTTCCTTGGGGGTGGTATTTTACATGAGGGAGGGAGGGGGGAGGGGGGGAGGGAGGGGGAGGGAGGATTTGGATGGAGTCACAGGGAGGAATTAGTGTGTACAGCAGCATGTGTGTGTGTGTGTGTGCGCCAACATAACCTACACTATTCACCATTAAGCGTCAAGTAGTGAACCCTTTCAGCGGCGTCACAAAGAAACCTGGTCATGGACGCACGGACGCTTAAACGTACGCACGGATGGACGGACGGACGCACGGACCAAATACTACAATACAAGATATATTTTGGATTTCACAAGACCAACTTAAAATACAATAGAGAGAATAGATCATTATATATTTTTTGTGGATATATTATAATGATTTGAGGATGTGTTTGTGTTTACAGAGACCCTTGATGTTTGTGTTTACAGAGACCCTTGATGTTTGTGTTTACAGAGACCCTTGATGTTTGTGTTTACAGAGACCCTTGATGTTTGTGTTTACAGAGACCCTTGATGTTTGTGTTTACAGAGTCCCTTGATGTTTGTGTTTACAGAGTCCCTTGATGTTTGTGTTTACAGAGTTCCTTGATGTTTGTGTTTACAGAGTCCCTTGATGTTTGTGTTTACAGAGTCCCTTGATGTTTGTGTTTACAGAGTCCCTGATGTTTGTGTTTACAGAGTCCCTTGATGTTTGTGTTTACAGAGTCCCTTGATGTTTGTGTTTACAGAGACCCTTGATGTTTGTGTTTACAGAGACCCTTGATGTTGGTGTTTACAGAGTCCCTTGATGTTTGTGTTTACAGAGTCCCTTGATGTTTGTGTTTACAGAGTCCCTTGATGTTGGTGTGTTTACAGAGTCCCTTGATGTTTGTGTTACAGAGTCCCTTGATGTTTGTGTTTACAGAGTCCCTTGATGTTTGTGTTTACAGAGTCCCTTGATGTTTGTGTTTACAGAGTCCTTGATGTTTGTGTTTACAGAGTCCCTTGATGTTGGTGTTTACAGAGTCCCTTGATGTTTGTGTTTACAGAGTCCCTTGATGTTTGTGTTTACAGAGTCCCTTGATGTTTGTGTTTACAGAGTCCCTGATGTTTGTGTTTACAGAGTCCCTTGATGTTTGTGTTTACAGAGTCCCTTGATGTTTGTGTTTACAGAGTCCCTTGATGTTTGTGTTACAGAGTCCCTTGATGTTTGTGTAAGCCTTGTTGTTTGTGTTTACAGAGTCCCTTGATGTTTGTTTACAGAGTCCTTGATGTTTGTGTTTACAGAGTCCCTTGATGTTTGTGTTTACAGAGTCCCTGATGTTTGTGTTTACAGAGTCCCTTGATGTTTGTGTTTACAGAGTCCCTTGATGTTTGTGTTTACAGAGTCCCTTGATGTTTGTGTTTACAGAGTCCTTGATGTGTTTATGTAGGTCCCTTGATGTTTGTGTTACAGAGTCCTGATGTTTGTGTTTACAGAGTCCCTTGATGTTTGTGTTTACAGAGTCCCTTGATGTTTGTGTTTACAGAGTCCCTTGATGTTTGTGTTACAGAGTTCCTTGATGTTTGTGTTTACAGAGTCCCTTGATGTTTGTGTTTACAGAGACCCTTGATGTTTGTGTTTACAGAGTCCCTTGATGTTTGTGTTTACAGAGTCCCTTGATGTTTGTGTTTACAGAGTCCTTGATGTTTGTGATTACAGAGTCCCTTGATGTTTGTGTTTACAGAGTCCCTTGATGTTTGTGTTTACAGAGTCCCTTGATGTTTGTGTTTACAGAGTCCCTTGATGTTGGTGTTTACAGAGTCCCTTGATGTTTGTGTTTACAGAGTCCCTTGATGTTTGTGTTTACAGAGTCCCTTGATGTTTGTGTTTACAGAGTCCCTTGATGTTTGTGTTTACATTCATCTAACTCAAAACACAGATGCTACAACACAGTACAAGGATTCAACATACCAAAAGGTGTCAGCCAATGCACCAACACACCTGCCCTATACCTGCACATACCTGTAATTAGAGAAACAGTATTAATGACACCTGAGATACAGTAACTCCTATAACTGTAATAATATAATTCATGACATTATGTAATTTATGTAATAGATAAAGACAGGATATATATATTTTTTTATCGTAAGAGTAATTCATAGTGAAGGTCGTATGGCGCTGAAACAGACGTAGCTTGTGTGTGGTTATGACTTCATGTTATAGTGAAGGTCAGAACACGCACACACACACACACACACACACACACACCACACACACACGCAGCACACACACACACACACACGCACACACACACACACGCACACCACGCACACACACACGCACACACACACACACCACACACACACCACACACACACACACACACACACACACACACACACACACACACACACACCACACACACAATTATCCCTTATCAAAGTATTTAAAACCCTCAATTATCAGTCATCTGGAGAAGTTAATCAAATGAAGGAAAAAAAGGTTAAAAAATGACCTTGTTGTATTGACCTTTGACCACTGTTGACAATGTAAGTGTGTGTGTGTGTGTGTGTGTGTGTGTGTTTAGTTACTGTCTATGCTTATTGTGTACTCTGTCTCTCACACCCCTACCACCACTACCTCCCCCTGCCACAACCACTACTAACTCCCATTACTACTACACCCCCTACCACCACCACCCCCCCTGCCACAACCACTACTAACCTCTCCATACTATTACACCCCTACCACCACTACCCCCCTGCCACAACCACTACTAACCTCCCATTACTACTACACCCCTCCTCGCCACTATCACCCCCTACCACCACCCCCCCATAAAGGCTCTCCTTCACCTCCTCTCTTGTTCCTTGTCTCTCACCACCTGCTCCACGTATCTCTCCATCGGTCTCTTCCTCGGGCTCCCGTCGGCCCATGCGAGCCTCGAGTCTCTCCAGCCTCCCGAAGATGGGCCCCTCGTTCCCGACTGGGGTCCTGTTGTCTCCGTCTCGTGTTGGGGTCTCAAGGCGAGATTCTGTGCGTGGAGGCTTCGTTTCCGCGTCGATTCGAGACTTCGGGTCCGGTTCCATGCGTGGCTTGAAATCGGGTTCCATACGGCCCTTGAAATCCGGCTCCATACGGCCCTTTGAAATCGGGTTCCATACGCCCCTTGAAATCGGGTTCCATACGCCTTGAAATCGGGTTCCATACGCCCCTGAAATCGGGTTCCATACGGCCCTTGAAATCGGGTTCCGTACGGCCCTTGAAATCGGGTTCCATACGGCCCTTGAAATCCGGCTCTATACGGCCCTTGAAGTCAGGCTCCATACGGCCCTTGAAGTCAGGTTCCATACGGCCCTGAAATGGCTCTATACGGCCCTTGAAGTCAGGCTCCACGGCCCTTGAAGTCAGCTTCCATACGGCCCTTGAAATCCGGCTCCATACGGCCCAGTCAGGCTCCATACGGCCCTTGAAGTCAGGTTCCATACGGCCCTTGAAATCCGGCTCCATACGGCCCTTGAAGTCAGGCTCCATACGGCCCTTGAAGTCAGGTTCCATACGGCCCTTGAAGTCAGGTTCCATACGGCTCTTGAAATCCGGCTCCACACGGCTCTTGAACTCGGCTTCGACAACGCGGGATTCACTCTTCTGTTCGACTCTCTCAACTTCCTGATCCAATTCCATGAGCCGAGCGTCGAGGCGAGGATCCTGTACCCGGGGATCCAATAGATTCAGCATCCTGGGATCCACCCCTCGAGGATCCACCAGAAGCCTCGGATCCTCCCGTGGGTCTATGAAGCGATCCGAGACGCGGTCGTGGAGGCGGTCGATGTGCGGTAGTTGATTATGGTGTCTCTGGAGTCGTTTTCTTTGTTCTTCTTGTGGCCGGGACGGAGGAGTGAAGAAAACTTGCTCTCTTTGTTGTTGCTGAAAGAATCAATAACAAACTGTAACTACATAAAACTACATATACCATAACTACATAATACTACATATATAGTACATAAGATAATAATTTACATATGTCTACTAATCGATTTATAAATGGTCTTAGTTCGTCTAATAGGTTTTTGTTTATTCGATTCGGTTTTGGAAGGTTAGGGTAGAAGTACTTTGTTATGATGGGAATATATTCTTGAGGTAGGTATGTTAATTGAAGGTTGACCTACCTCCCTCCACCCCCCTTTCCCCCTTCTCTCCCACCCTCCTCCACCCCTCCTCCCCCTCCACCTCTCCCTTTCTCCCATCCCCTTCTTCCCACCCTACCTCCACTCCCACCTTCTTCCCACCTACCTCCACCCTCCCACCTTCTCTCCACCCTACCTCCACCCCTCCCACCTTCTCTCCCACCCTACCTCCACCTCTCCCCCTTCTCTCCCACCCTACCTCCACCCCTCCCACCTTCTCTCCCACCCTACCTCCACCCCTCCCACCTTTTCCCACCCCTACCTCCACCCTCCCACCTTCTCTCCCACCCTACCTCCACCCTCCCCTGTTCTCTCCCACCCTACCTCCCACCCTCCCCCCTTCTCTCCCACCCTACCTCCACCCCTCCACCTTCTCTCCCACCCCTATACCTCCACCTCTCCCCCTTCTCTCCCTACCTCCACCCCTCCACCTTCTCTCCCACCTCCCACCCTCCCACCTTCTCTCACCCTACACTCACCCCTCCACCTTCTCTCCCACCCCTACCTCCACCCCTCCCCACCTTCTCCCACCTACCTCCACCTCCCACCTTCTCTCCCACCCCTACCTCCACCTCCCCCGTTCTCTCCCCACCCTACCTCCACCCCTCCCACCTTCTCTCCCCACCCTACCTCCACCCCTCCCACCTTCTCCTCACCCCTACCTCCACCCCCTCCCTTCTCTCCCACCCCTACCTCCACCCCTCCCACCTTCTCTCCCCACCCCTACTCCACCCCTCCCACCTTCTCTCCCACCCTACCTCCACCCCTCCCACCTTCTCTCCCACCCTCACCAGTAGAGACAAGAAGCCAGGACTCTCTGAAGCCTAACAACCACGCCCCGTCCTTGATGTGTGGGCGCCTTGGTCACACCTCACCACGCCCACCTCTACACAAACACACACACACACACACACACACACATCAATACACAAAACCGTAAATAGTTTGTTGTGGTTGAGGTCATTTGACAGAGAAGTAATTATGGTTGACCTCACACTGTAACCCTGCACTAGTGTGTCTCTTTCTATGCAACTTTACAATGTTTAACTCTTACTAATGTGAGTTACGTTAACATAACCAAACTTGAACTAACACTAACCTAATCTAATATAACCTAACCTAATCTAAACAAACACTAACTTAACGAAAGCTGGGATGAAAGAACGAAGGAAATAGGGAAGAAATGAAAGAAGGCGGATGAATGAAGGAATGAAAGCAGATGGATGAATGGATGGATGACTATCATGATCTCAGGAGAAACTTAGCGTGTGTTCCGTCTGGCTGACCCACATCTATTGTCTGGCCCTATGCTTACACGCCCACACCCACGCCCGCCGCTGTGCTATATGATCCTTCACGCCCATGCCTCACGATTCACCCTCCACGCCCACGCCCGCCTTTGTGCTATATCAGCCTCCACGCCTCACGGATCATTCTCCTCGCCCACACCCACGCCCGCCGCTGTGCTATATCAACTTCCACGCCCGCCGCTGTGCTATATCAGCCTTCGCGCCCACGCCTCACGGTTCAACCTCCACGCCCACCACTGTGCTATATCACGCCCACTACAGTCCTCCTCAACGAAACACAACATCCTCAGTAAGCAGAACAAGATGGCGGCTGTGTTGACAGTCTCACGGTGATAATAAGAGGAAATACTATCAAGAGGAGACAGTAATAACACACCAAATAATGCTATTAACAGGAGAACAATAAAATAAAAACGAAGAGGTGGAGATAAATCAAGAGGAGAAAGCATAATGGAGATAGGAAGAAAGAACAGGAATACGCATTAATCTCCACGAGTGTCAGTTGTTTCCGACATGTAAACAAACCCCAACTGGATCCACTGTACTGTTTCTCACACTTCCCCGCAACTTTAGGTAGACATATCCGTTTCATTTAACAGTCAGACAATTAATTACATACTAACTGGTTACATCTGGAGTTAAATCACAATAAACATGATAATAATAACTTAGTATTTGTTATAAAGTTAGACGTGAGTGTAAACAGGTCTATTATAGATACTGTACCTTCACACTGGTGGATCCAATCTCCCACACACTTTCCCACAGTTCCCCGCCACATTAAGAAACATTGCCGCGTCAGTGGGTAGGAGTGATAGTCGATTGAAAACCAGCTCACTTAATGACTTATTATTAAAAATGAAAGTGACTAATGAAAGGATGTGTGGAAATATTAAAGAGTTATCTAGTAAACTTGGCGATACTGGTGTATGAGACTGGACTATACGCGAAGGTCAAGTCATTATTATCAACAAAAACAACAACAAAACAACAATAACTTTAAAAAACACACAATTAAAACAGAAACTTCAGCACTACTAAAACAACAACAAAACAACAATTAAAACAAACAAATAAAGATGATAAATAAGAATAGATGAGACGAGGTTGAAATAATAATAAAGAAAATGAATAATGAGGAATTGGTGATGAAAGATAATGAAGACTGATATAATGAGGCTTACCACACACACACACACACACACAACACACACACACACACACAACACACACACACACACACACACAACACACACACACACACACACACACACATTAAGTACCTGGAAACTAATAAGATTTTCTACAGACGCCCCGAAAATCAACTCTCTCTCTCTCTCTCTCTCTCTCTCTCTCTCTCTCTCTCACTCTTTCTCTCTCTCTCTCTCACCACCCAAAGAGCCAGGTGTGGGGCCGACTATTAATCAGTCATTAGTTCCGGGTTGACAGCTGGTTGCCCATCTACATAACCCATAACTTTCCTCACCACAACGCCACTGCAGGACCCGGATATAGTGAGCAAAGTGTGATAGATATAGATAGATAAGATTGATAGATAGATAGATAGATGTGGGTATATACAGATAGATTGAAAGATAGACAGATGTGGGTAGATAGATAGATAGATAGTGAGTATATGATAATAATAATAAATTTGAGTAAAAATATGTTAAATAAAAGATTAAATAAGTATTACCTGATAAAGAGAACGATAGGTTGAGAAGGTGAGGTTGTTGGTAACACTGTTTGGTCACGTTAACGAGTGGTAGTTAGTGATTAACTGCCTATGACGCCTCATTCACCATGGGCGTGGCGTCTCCTGGCTTAACGCCTTCACTAACGCCCTCTAATTGGAGGAGGTGGGAGGAGAAGGATAAGGAAGGGAAGGAAGAGGAGGAAGGGAAGGAAGAAGAGGATAAGGAGGAGGAAGGGAAGGAAGAAGAGGATAAGGAGGAGAAGGAAGGGAAGGAAGAGGAGGAAGGGAAGGAAGAAGGGAAGGAGGAGGAAGGGAAGGAAGAAGAGGATAAGGAGGAGGAAGGGAAGGAAGAAGAGGATAAGGAGGAGAAGGAAGGGAAGGAAGAGGAGGAAGGGAAGGAAGAAGAGGATAAGGAGGAGAAAGAAGGGAAGGAAGAAGAGGATAAGGAGAAGGAAGGGAAGGAAAAAGAGGATAAGAAGGAGGAAGGGAAAAAGAGGAAGGTAATTGAAGACGTCTCCAGGTAATACGACCACAGCAGTTCTCTCAATAACCTAACCTATACCTACTTATCTTCTCTCCCTTAAAATAGTCTCTCTACTGTAATAATCTCCCTTCCCCTCCCTCACTCTCTTTCTCTCATCCTCTCCTTCCCTCCCTCTTTCCTTCTCTCTCCCTCCCTCCCTCTTTCCTTCTCTCTCCCTCCCTCCCTCTTTCCTTCTCTCTCCCTCTCTCCCTCCCTCTTTCCTTCTCTCTCTTCCCCTCCTTCTTTCCTTCTCTCTCCCTCCCTCCCTTCCCTTACCAGGTGGTCAACGCTACATTGCTTAACATTAACCAAGTATTAACCTCTAAATTCCTCTCTAAAGTATTTCCTGAAAGATTATAACCCTGGTGGGAATATCTGGGAATACAGCCGGTAGGAATATCTGGAAATACAGCCGGTAGGAATATCTGGAAATACAGTTGGTAGGAATATCTGGGAATATACCTGGTGGGAATAATCACATGAGAGAGAGAGAGAGAGAGAATAAGATGAAGAGAGATAGAAAGAGAGATAGAGGCCTGCATTATCTATACCTGAACCTTCTCAGAATGCCAGGTGAGTCTCACACCTGGTCTCATGATCCTAGGAGAGAGAGTCAGGTATGTACACACACACACACACACACACACACACACACACACACACACACAC